GATATGGGAGTAAATAACAACAAATCTGATAAACAAGATATAGACAAAAATTGTGAAGAAGCTTCCATAAAAATTAATGCTGAGAATTTCAACGATCACTTTTTAAAAATTGCTGAAATTATCTCTAGTAAAATTAAGAGTAATAATAGTTTAAATACTAATAGCACTACTTATTCTCCATTCAACTTATCGCAGATTCTAAATTTTCAGTATGATAACATTATATTTCACAATACTTCTACAGGTGAAATTGAAGAAATTATAATAAATCTACCCTGGAAAAACACTTGTGGTTATGATGAAATACGCATAAAATTATTGAAAATTAGTGCACCCTTTATTAGCTCTCCATTATGTTGTATTATAAATAAGTCATTATCTACAGGTGTTTTTTCAAGTACACTGAAATATCCGATTATTACTCCTATATACAAGAAAGGTGTTGTGAGATGGTTTTTGCAAATCAAAAGTTGGTACCCTTGAAAGTGTGTTCGATATATTCTTCTGAAACAGATGTTGTAGAGATTGTCTTTTGTTTTTTTGTGTAACCTGAACACTTCTGAGTTGGATACTGGAAAGGCGAGACATATGTATTCCTACTATTGTATTTTTCAAGTCACAAATACAGTTTATATTCTAAACTGGTCGTTGGAATATTTGTTCCCGATTCCCGCACTCTGCCAACAGGTTATGGGCCCAGGACAGGTTAGTTCAGACGTTTTTGAGTAAAGTTGAAGTGAAAATCGTAAATAAGGGAAGTTTCGAGTATCCATCAAGATGGCGTCAGAANCCCACTTCAGACGATGATTGGCTGGACCGGCCAGACTGGGAGGTTGCTTATCATTCTCCTCCAATTAGGAAAGCGAATATCCACTAGTGTACAGTTTAGGGGTGAACTTTGCCACCTGCTGCGTGGCTGTCAAACTGAGATTTTGGGGTAGCAGGAAATGACGCTGCTAAATTTATGACTTCCCCTGTCAAGTTTAGAATTTCTAAAGAACTCGGCCTTGTTTTACTCATTAAATTGACTGATTTACGAATGGGCAGCTGGCTTCAAGCTTGACCCAAGCCACTTGCTGCTTGTCTCAGGGGGAAAATTTCAAATTGTGAGGTGAAAGTGAGGAATTTCACAAAACCCTAACCATACACAAACATCAACTGACCTTCCCATAAACTGGACAGTTACAACCTCCCAAGCGAAATAATGACTATTCTGGCGCAGCCTGAATATGTCAACATTTCGTCTTACTGCCATTTCTCCTCCATTACCACACACAAATGCTTAAGCCTAGAAAAAATACACACTAAATGTAAATAGACAAGACCTTAATTGACTGCATGGTCCACCACTTCTAGCAATAGCATGAGGCCTACCATGTACAATATCTGAAAATTTAGGTGGCTTTCGCCCCCTTTCCTGCAAACAGTACCATTCAGAAAATCCTAAAATAACAGAAATGAAAGTTCACACAGTCATTGAGACAATACTTAAATGGGCTGACAATACAAAGTCCCTTGTTGTCCCTTTCTTTGACTCCAATACATTTTCTCAGACTTTCGAAACTTACATCTTACAACTAAAATTGTTTATTGCCTCACTTCTAGTTTTTACCCATTCCAGTCCTGTTGTTGCTCATGTCGCTACCATTGTTCTGACCACTTCCTTGAAGTTCACTTCTGGTTCACTCGCACATTGCCACATTTATGGGCCTCACTGGACAATACCTCACTCCCTAAGTTGCTTTGTCACCTCAGATTTACAGCTTGTTTCACTCTACCAGATCTTACACTTAGCTGGCAACTCATCTCATACAATTCGGTTCATACAGGCTAACATTTTCATTGTCCTAACATACCCATACAAGTATGTAATATTTTTCGGTGACAACACTGACCATAACAGTGATTGGTTCCTATCATTAGAATTTAGGCGAGCGTAAACTTAATTCTCTCTCCCTCGCCCATTCTCTTTCAGACCTATGATTTCAAACTTTCTCCTGCCTTTCCTCATTCACTCCTTGCCGAAACCGATTGAAAGTTACACATTTACAAGCCCTCTCTGTTATCCCTTTTACAATTATTTCCAAACAAAGGCGCGCAGGCCTACATAAAAAGTTGGTATTCACACAGCCATCACCCCAGCGCAGCAATTACTGAGCAACTCTTCCCACAATTCCTCAAATTTCGGATCATTTAACTGCCTGACCTCTTTATACCATGAAATTTAACTGGATTCATTCGTTCTTACTACAAATTTATCATCACTTCCTTCTGGACCAGTATGCCATTATACTAACACTAGTCTACACTGTCCAAGTAAGGCTTCAGGTGGCCCAAGTTAAAAAATCTGATCTCCTTCTGGCAGAATCGGCAATTAGCCGCATTCAATGTAAAGCCTGCTCTCGCCAATTTACTTAGAACAATTTCCAAGTGCCTGAGATGCTCCCCGAAACTTTTAGAAAATACCAAGACATCGCCCACGTACAACACAAGGAACTCATCAGTCTCACCACCAAAGACCTATTTCAGGGGTCTGACAAAAGCGGATAGTGAATTTCGGAACCCGTACGGCGTGCGTTTGTACTGGTACACAGTAGAATCGAACAAGAAGGCGGTGTACTTCCGGGAGTCTCTGTGCAGCGAAATTTGTAAATACGCAGAGGTCAAATCTAGGGTGGTCATGAACTGCGCTCCTTCGAATTTTTGCAATAATTCTTGTAAAGGTGGGGTGCGCTCTCTATCCGGAACGGTATGCTGGTTCACCTTCCTGGCGTCCACACAAATCATAATTTTCTTATTTCCCTTATGAACCACGGACAAAGGGTTAAGGAAGGGTGAATTACTAAATTCTAAAATGCCATCCTGCAGCATTTGCCTAATCTGGTCTCTAACGGCGGGGCGGACAGCAAAGGGGATGGGGCGAGAATATCCTACTATGGGTTTATCTTCGTCTACCTGAAATTTATACTAAAAAATGTTACACCTGCCAGGTCTGACGGTGAAACACTTCATATAGCTACTCAATAACTCGATCAAGCATTCTTTCTGGGACTCATTCATATTGTCTTTCGTGTCGATCAGGGCAGACAAATCCGCCTTCTTCAACGAGCGTGAGTCATGGAGGTCGAGTTCTGACGTTTGGATAGGGGTGGGTTGGAGCAGGTTACTCTCTGTTCTTCCTACATTAACTTCCTTTAGGCCAGCCGTTTCTTCTTCGCATAGGCTCTCAACCAGGCTGCCATAAATCTCCCTCGGACACTCTTCTTCATACACTTCTCCATTTACTAATAACTCTTGGTCGCCCGCGGCGCCATTTAACAGGGTCCTCTGCCCTACATAACTACCATTCACGGTAGCACAATTCAAAATACAACTTGCTTCCTCAACAAGACATTCTTTTCCCTTTCTACCTGCTTCTGTCTGGGTTGCGTCACAGCTGGCTTTAACAGCTGGGTGAAGTGGGTCATTGCCTACAGCTGGGGTTTTCAGGTCATGGGTGACACCAAAACATTTATGGGAAGGATCTCCCTTCGACTCCCGCTCATCATTTCTGGCGTCCAATGGCCCGGAACTTTGATCGAACGAATGTCCCTTCCTACTTCCATCTCTCTCATAGTAAAAACATTTATTAACAAAATCAATAGTGATCCCATATTCCTTAGAGAATGATGAGCCTAAAATGGCCGAATTAATTAACTGTGGAGATATTAAGAAAATAGCCTCAAACCTATCCTTGCCTACAAAAAAATTTATGAGCGCCTGCTTCTTAATCCTCTTTGTCCTCCTGCCAAATGCCGTGACTAGTGCTACATTTTCTAGCGGCAGCGTGGGCACAGCTATCCCTGCCCCTATCAGCCGATCATAAAGCTTCTCGGTCAAGATGTTCGCCTCGCTTCCTGTGTCTAAAAGGGCGCTAGCTGAAATGCCGTTCCCGAACGAAATGTTCACTTGCGGGCAGCAAGCTAAGTCGTTCTCATTTATGAAGAACAATATCAACCCCCCTATCGCCTCTGGTTCGATTCCCTCATCCAAAATTTCTGGGCTATTAACGTTTACTGCAGTCTTGCCCTGAACTCTTAACCTGTGAGGTGGACCTGTCGGTTCGTTGTTTTTACTGGCGAGAGTCATTCGGTCATCAACAACTCCCTGCTCTAGTTTCCCAAGTTCCCAGCGCGACGTTGTCCATCGGTGCCGGCGAAGGTGGGAGCGTGGGGGTTCAAGGAGTTCCCTGCCGCGGGGCGGCTGTCGACCGGCTCCGTATCCCTAGCTGACGATCCAAACCCCCCGCGTGTCGGGTGTCCACGCCGGTTGTCATAGCGGCAGTAATCGTTCCGGCGGTCGTCCTGTACTCGCCTTGCGTAATATTGGTTGAGGCAGGATCTTTCATATCCCCCACGGCTAGGCGGATTCCCTCTGGGAGTCGGATCGGGTTGGTGGGTTACCGGGTTCGAACCTCGGTATGACTCGTCCCCTTCCATCATCTCTACCCTTCTCAACAGGTCCAAGGCCTCCCCTACCGTACTTAGATGGGAGCCTATCATAGCCCTCTGGACCATTACTGGAAAGTGATGTCTGACCGCCTCAATGACTTCTGTGTCAGAGGGCCTGGGTTCCAAATAAGAGGCCATGGTAGCGTACTTTAGGAAATGGCTGGACAGCGATAAACCAGACCTGGAATTGAACCTGTCTTGGTAGAAACTGCACCGAACTAGGCTTTGCTTTGACTTTGACCAATAGTTACCGGAAAATGCTACCTTAAATTGCTCGTAATCACTCAGGTTTCGGGCTACAGTGGCTGCCCACTGTTTGCCTACAGCACCCACTATAGATTTGAAGGCTAGTGATAGCTGGAGGGGCTTAGGCACGCTCCTGAACCTCATGAATTCATCCAGCTGATTTAGATGGAATATCGGGTTAACCTCCGACCTATCGTCGAACTGTGGCAACGGGAAGTCAGCGCAACTCAAATAACTGTTCGCTGAGTGATGGCGTACAGGCTCTATAGTACTCTCACACACAGCAACCCCATTCACACACACAGAACATGAATTCGAATTACAACTGCATTCTACATTTTCTATCCTAGCCATATTAGCAGTGGGCGGTGGAGTGGGAGAGCCATGAACAGCGTTCGTTACTTCCCTGGTCTGTGTTACTTCTGTACCACAAGTCATGGGAGTCACTCCGGCAAGCTTGTCCTTCAGTTTGTCAATCGCGGAATTTAATATCTCGAACTTGCGTTCGATCCCAAGTTTTCGGTTTCTGCCGCTTTGTTTAGCTGTGCGGTGTTCTCCCCCTGCCGTTTTTCTAAGTCCTCTGCACGTATTACCAGGTCGCCCTTTAATATTTCTATATCATTAGTCAGGTGAATTACCTGATCGCCAATTAAGTCTACCTCCGTCCTGACTTCCAGAACTTTGCCGGAGAGTTCACCTGTCAACTCCTGGTTGCTCCGGGATTGCTGTTCCAGCCGGGCCTCGAACTCCGAACTGATTCCCTGAAGCTTCTCCTGCACCATTTGTAATTCCCTTTCCGTGTCACTCTGTAGTTGCCTAACCTGGCGAGACACTTTAGAAGTTTCGGCCTGAAGTTTCCTTGAAAATTCTTGGCTGAGTTTCTGATTTTCTAGTCGAAACTGCTCTACCAGTTTCTCGTTTTCCCTCCGGATCTCCTCTCTCATCTGATCATTACTCTCCCTTAATTTCTCCTCTACTCTACTCTGCAGTTCCTTATTACTCTCCTTTAGTTTCTCCTCTACTCTACTCTGCAGTTCCTTATTACTCTCCTTTAACTTCTCCTCTAACTTACTGGCCAGTTCTTCGTTCCCAGTCTTCATCGATGCAATCATGCTGGCGAATAAGTCTTGTAAATAACTCGGTACAGCGGGGAGTCTGCTGCAATATTTTCACTCTGGGCTTGTATCGTCACTTCCATCGTGTTCCTAACCTGGTCTCCTAATTCATCCAGACTTTCTACTGCTACACTTGACCCCTCTATTTCAACACAATCCCCCTGGTCACACGACAGGTCTGCAGAAAATACCCCCGACATGTTCTCACTATCAGCCCACTCCACTTCTATAACCCGGTTCCGAAGCGTTTGGCTGGCCATGTGTGTCACTTGACTAACCTTGGTGGTGCGTAATCGATGTTGTGTTGGACGGCCTTCCGCGCTCTGGAAGCTAGGTTGCGACTCCGTCCGTACTTCCTCTCGGCCCCTTCGGTGTGGTCCCTGACAGCTGCAGTGGCGGTCGTCTGCGCTGCTGTGGCGTTCGTAGGTAGATCCGCCGCCCATTCTTCACGTGTTTGCGCCTGCAATTAACCACTGATTGTTCCCGCTGGCTCCTCACTGCCTCTAGTCACCCTTGTCGCGATATCGGCTGTCGCGTTGGGCGCCACTCTCACCCTGTAACCGTCCTTCGGTTCTGCTATCCCCGGTAGAGCAATTCGACTCCTCTCAGGGCGTGTTGACTGGCCACGACTTGGGTGATTATTGGGGCTTTAGGCGTAGGGAAGTCACCTCAACACCAATTAACTGTTTGAAGTCTTTATTAAATCTGCACTAATTAAATGGAAACAGCCCAGTAGTGGTACACTTCACAGATTCATGGATGTAGGCTTACTTACTGTTCACTGAGACGCACACGTTATGGTCACCACAGGGGGTGTTTACGGGGATCAGAACATGTGAATATAACTTTCAGAGTCCTCCTTGCCAAGCACCCTCTGAATGGTAATATTTGCCCTGGTTACCCAAAATTCGGGCAAAGGACCTCCCACTTCAGATGATGATTGGCTGGACCGGGCAGACTGGGAGGTTGCTTATCATTCTCCTCCAATTAGGAAAGCGAATATCTACTAGTGTACAGTTTAGGGGTGAACTTTGCCACCTGCTGCATGGCTGTCAAACTGAGATTTTGGGGTAGCAGGAAATGACGCTGCTAAATTTATGACTTCCCCTGTCAAGTTTAGAATTTCTAAAGAACTCGGCCTTGTTTTACGCATTAAATTGACTGAGTTATGAATGGGCAGCTGCTTCAAGCTTGACCCAAGCCACTTGCTGCTTGTCTCAGGGGGAAAATTTCAAATTGTGAGGTGAAAGTGAGGAATTTCACAAAACCCTAACCATACACAAACATCAATTGACCTTCCCATAAACTGGACAGTTACAACATCAACTATAAGTGCAACTTGCAAATTAACAAATGATATATTGATGGCCTTAAATAATAAAAGGAAAAGTGGTGGTATATTTTTTGACTTAGAGAATGCTTTTGATTGTGTGAACCATGATATATTATTGGTTAAAATGAAATATTATGGTGTAAGTGGCGTGATGCGTTCTCTAATTGAGTCATATTTAGAAAATAGATACCAAAGGGTAAAACTTAACAATAAATTATCAAATTGGGCAAAATTGATAAAGGTGTTCGTCAAGGATCGATTTTGGGACTGCTATTATTTTTGATTTATGTAAATGACTTACCCTCCTTTATACAGTGTTCTGTCCCATCAAATACATCAGTTGTGCTATTTGCCGATGATACAAGTGTAATAGTAGATGAATTAAATTTTATGCAGCTGGGAAAAAAAACTTACTACGGTGTTTAGATCAATGAATGAATGGTTTAATTTAAATATGCTTTCATTAAATTTAGGCAAGACTTGCTGTGTAAATTTCTCAGCTAAATATAATTTTACCAAAAAATTAAATATTGAATATGGAAACAAAACTTTATTAGAGTGAAATGAGGTAAAATTCTTAGGTATGACACTGGATAACACAATATCTTGAAAAAAACATATAGATTCAATTATAGGTAAATTTAATAAAGCCTGTTACATATTTAGGAAAACCAAACAGTATTTAAATATTGATGCCCTCAAAATGGTGTATTACGCCTTTTTCCACTCAGTAATGTCTTATGGTTTGATTTTTTGGGGAAATAGAACTCTCAGTATGGATCTTAGAGAGATAGGATGGCACGGTATGGATGGATTGATCTGGTTCAGGATAGGGACCAGTGGAGATCTCTTCTGAACATGGTAATGAACCTTCAAGTTCCATAAAATTTTGGGAAGTTCTTGTAGCTGAAAAACAGGTGGCTTCTGAGCCTTTTTCCACTCAGTAGAAGTTAGTTAGTTAGTTAGTTAGTTAGTTACTTATATAAAAAAAACCCCCATGGCCTGTATTCCACAAGCAAACTATACCAACCAAGCAACAGCTGCTTGTCGGCAAAGTTAGTGCCAACTGTAGCAGATAGAGGGTGTTGCGTGGTCTGTGCAATGAATCCCCATGGCCGTTAACTTCGGTGTTCTAGACAGGAGTCGCTATTTCCTTGAAATAGCTCCTCAGTTATCCTCATGAGCCTGAGTGGACCCTGTCCCAGACCCACTATTTCTCAGAAAATCTGGTAGCGCCGGGAATGGAACCCGGGACCTCTGGATTTGTAGCCAGGAACTCTGACCATTAGACCACAGAGGCGGTCTAGTTACATAAAAACACTCAGAAATAATAAACTTATAGGGCAACAAAGGAAGATTCCTGGAAGTTAGAAAGCTTCTAGAACATCACCAGTTTTTAAGGAAGCAGGCAGGACAAAATGTGAAAATTACTGGAGTAAATTAATAGAGGTTATGAATTATTTGCTAATATAACAGCAGCCATACTAAAACTAAATTTAAGCTGCTTAATGGATGGAGTTATATTAATTTGTATTCAGGAGTGAAAACAATACGATGGGGTACCCAAAAGAAACCGAACTAATTTTTTTGTGGGCAGAGCTTTTGTAGTACCGCGTTTTGCCGCTATGAGCGCATAGAGCTAATATTCCTGAGTCGATAAGCCGAGTACCGTTGCTTCACAAGGTAAGGACTAGTTTCGGCAGAGTTTATAGTGACAACTGTTTTGTGTGATCGTCGTTTTTGCAATGGCTGATTTTCGTGAACAGCACGCGGCGGTGAAATTCTGCTTTTTGCTCGGGAAAAGTGGAACAGAAACTCTTGAAATGTTAAAAACGGCGTACAAGGACGATGCTATGGGGAAAACTCAAGTGTTTGAGTGGTTTTCCCGTTTCAAAAATGGTGAAATGTCAATTGATGACAAACCTCGTTCTGGTCGTCCTTCCACGGCCCGAACACATGAAAATGTTGAAAAAAATTCGTGAAATCATCAAGGAAGATCGACGACGGACCATTGAAGAAATTGTGGAGCTGTCGGGAGTGACTTGGAGCTCAGCGGCCAGATTTGTGGCAGTCGGGTGACTGGTTTTTCCATCATGACAATGCCCCTGCTCACACAGCCCTGTCTGTATGACAATTCTTGACTAAAAATGGTATGACCCCCGTGCCTCACCCTCCATACTCACCTGACCTTGCCCCGTGTGACTTTTTTTTTTGTTTCCTTGAATGAAAAGAGACATGAAAGGAAAAAACGACGGAGGCACTGTCAAGCATCTCAAAAGATGAATTTAGACAATGTTTTGAAAAATGGAATAAAAGACTAGACAAGTGTATTAGTGTAAGTGGAGAGTACTTTGAAGGGGATTGAAAGTTTGTGCTTAAAATTTGAATAAATAAATTAAAAAAAAAATAAGTTCGGGTTCTTTTGGGTACCCCCTCGTATATAACTGCTTGAAACATAAGTCATTTCTTAAAACAGAGAGCATTACACAACACACCATAATGTAATTATTTATTTTAAGTTTGTGATGAAGCACAACATTCTAAGATTCCATAGTAGGCTAAATCAAAGTGACTCTTCAGCATCCATGTAAGAACTCAATTCGAACCATTAGTGGCTCTGTCTCATCGTTCTCATCTGCTACTACAGACAGGATCTTCTTCACCTCATCAGCGATTTCAAAGGACAGATTTAATTCTCAATACCTCTGACTTCATTTTCATTTCCTGGTTCGATAACACTTGAGACTCTTTCTCTTTATTCCACAGATGTTCATTCTAACCTCCAGGCCTGCTATCTTATCTTTCTGCCTTCAAAGAGCAACACATACTGCTCTTAATGGCAGTAAAATTTTCTTATGAAGTAAAAACACACTCTTATAAACTTCATCAAAATCAATGTTGAAATCCTCTCACTCTGAGTTCAAAGTATTTCTTTCTTGGGGATTTATCAAGGGAGCCCTTGGAAACAGGACACATATTCTTACATAATTTTCAATGTAGCCTTCAATCTAAATTTTGTTCCTCTGAAGAACATCGCCCTCTCCTCTAATAATATTCAAATTTTCTTTCAGGGTATTACATACTCTTTTAAGTTCATCAAAATCAACTTTGAACTCATCTTGCTCAGATCTCAAATTATCTCTTTCCTGGGCCAACAGCAAATAAGCTTCCTGAATACTGGACTCCTCATCCACTGTCATTTTCAATCTACACTCCAGGCCTAATAACTTATCTTTGTCCCTCTGAAGATCATCACACTTTCGACTGATGACATTTAAATTATCTGTCAGGTCACTGCCTTTCCTTTTAAGTACATCAAAATTTGCTTTTAGTTCTTCATACTCTGATTTCAAAGTGTCTCTTTCCTGGCCCAATAGCAAGTATGCTTTCCGAATACTGGGCCCTCCTTCCAATATCATTTTCAATGTACTCTCCATGCCTACTAACTTATCTCTCTCCCTCTGAAGAGTATCACACTTTCCTTTGATGACATTTAAATTATCTGTTAGGGCACAGCATTTCCTTTGGAGTTCATCAAAATAGACTTTAAATTCCTCTTGTTCTGATTTCAAAGTGTCTCTTTCCTGGCTCAGTATCAAATAAGCTTTCTCAACACTGGATCCTCCTTCCAATATAATTTTCAATGTACTCTCCAGGCCTATTAACTTATCTTTGTCCCTCTGAAGAGTATCACGCTCTTCTCTAATGACATTCATATTTTCTTGGAGGGCATTATATTTTCTCTGAAGTTCATAAAAATTAACTTTCAATTCCTTGTGCTCTGATCTCAAACCATCACTTTCCTGAGTCACTGAAAGCTTTTCCTTTTGAAACCAATTACAAAACTTCCCCACAGCACATTCCTCAACATCTGTGCCATACTGAGGCTTATCCTTCCACACTGCTATCTCTGTGGTACCATCCAATCCTTCTTTCCCATTTCTGTGTTGATCCTGTAATGAATTTCATAATATACATCAGAACTTTGCAGCACTCTGATTTTCACAAGTTTAGAAGCTATTAAAAAACACTCAAAAAGAACTATGGTACCCAGATTTATTGGGTTTCTGGACTTCCTCCATCACCCAGTATTCTAGAAACTAGAAAACACAACGTTTTGGAAACTGGATCCATTTTCATTCTCAAGTGAGAGGGGAAGACCCCTATTCTGTTAGTTCCCTTAGAAAGAGCTAACCTCAGTCACTGAATAATCCCTGTTAGATTCACTACAGCTATTTAATAACCTGAGACCAGGCTAATTCAGATGGATATAACAAGAAAACATATCAAAAAATTTTGATAAAGCAATCATATGCGTGGAACTAGGATAGAAAGGAGTTAAATATTTTTGCTACCAGCCTAGAAGCCAAAACCAAGTGCAAAAGCACCAATGCATAGAAAAAATGGAAGCATCTTGTGAAGACATGTAGTGTCTATGAGTAGCACCATCTGTGGAGAAAAATCTAAAAACTCAAGACTGAATCCTTATGGAAATCACGGAAGAATTTTTCACATCATACAAACCTTCTCTGTGAGCTGGAAACCTCATTGCTGATAAGGGGGATCCAAATGGGAGAATGTCCAAACTGGGTTGGCTGATTGGTTTCGTTAAGCATGCCATATGGACCAATTCCTTGTATTTCCTATACTTGCTGTTACTTTCAATTTCCAAAATACTAGCACCATCCCAGCCTACCCTGTGACCCTACGCATATGCATGTTGGGCTAATTTTGATTTTTCTAGATCCTGCTGGGGATTGTGCCTATGTTCATAGAGCCGCACGGCTAGAGGTTTGCCTGTTTCACCAATGCAGCTTCTGCCACATTCACAGGGAATACTGTAGATGCAGTGTGCCATCTGTTGCAGATCTCTTTCCGGCCTGCTCTTCGTGCGTGAACTCCTAAGAGCGTTTATTTTTTAAGGCTGTTCTATGTTACATAAATTCCCTACATGATTGAACTTCTCTGCAATACCCTTCATATAAGGGATATACACAAAGCACAGGGGTTTTTGCTCTTTATGCAGATGACCACTACCCTTGGAATTAATGACCAAGAGAATGAATCCTTGGTGATAACCAGTGAGCTGCAGGTGACATCTAAGGCTGCTGATTTAATTAAACAGATCTTGTCATTCATGGCATATGGTGGAAGCTTAAATTTGGTTCATATACAAATTCAGAATAAGATATTGTAATATTTCAGTTTCTGGCTAAAAAAGAAAAAAAAAACACTTCTCTTGTAGATGAATGTCTGTCTGAATTGATGAATCGCAAAAATATATGTTTTCTATTTGTTTTATTTTAGCAGTGAAACACAACTACAGAAACAAACTCCTCAAAATCCTTTGAAGTTTGAATGTCTTTGAAACAACAGCATATATTCCAAACTTAAAATAATTCATCCATACATACATATTTGAAAAAATGAAAACTTTCACTTATATCATGTCCTACAGATTATAGCAACATCTTTTTGAATCAAAATGACATAGAGAATGCAAATATAATTAAATATTAGCATATACATATCAGGACAGTTACAGAAATGTTAGGACTTCTGACCAGTAACACCTTGGAATACAGCATAATTCCAATTATCTGCACCAATGATGGTGAACAGGTACACAAGAAAATGCAAAACCATACATCATCACAGGTTTTGGGTGTTATCAGGGGACTATGGTTATTGTACATATATGAATACATATGCACAATGTCCAGTTTCTTCAGTTATCTCAAATGGCATGAGGTGTATGGAACAAGTATAGTGAACATAAATTATGTAATAATTTTCAATGGCAACTTTTGTTTCAAGTGTATCTCGCTTGAATTAATACATAGTGAGTTACACCTGAGACACATGAAAAGGCACATGTATGTCTACATGCCTCTGCAGCAACAGTTTAACTGCAACAATAGAACAGCTGTGTTTTCTAAGTCATCCATGCTGAGATGTTATAACCAGGACAGTTTGGAGCAATGAGCTCGGTGCTCAGTTGAAAGTCTGTCTGTAAAGAGAAGACTTGGTGGGTGCAGTCAGTTACTATGTTAAAATCCATTACCAGGAATTGTCTAGTGAAGACAGACAAGACTTTTATGTGTGTCATTGTTACAGTGATATTCAGAGTGTGCAATTCCATAAGACTGTTATAGCTACTTGTAGTTATGATCTGTAAGTGGTCAGAAAATCCAGAACCCTGTCAAGGGTCACTCTAACATATGACNGTGTGATTTTTTTAACACCAAGGAATAAACATACTGTCATATCCATGATTTATTTAATCCGTCTTGCAGTGCATACACTCATTTATCTCCTTCTCTCCCTCGCACTACATGTTTCGGCATTCATTATTATGCCGAAACATGTAGTGCGAGGGAGAGAAGGAGATAAATGAGTGTATGCACTGCAAGACGGATTAAATAAATCATGGATATGACAGTATGTTTATTCCTTGGTGTTAAAAAAATCACACATCACATTGTACCTTGTAACTGGACTCCCTTAATTGGTCCTCAGGAAGTCCAAACTCAGCAGCAGATTCCTCCATGGCAAATGCAGTATATTCATCACCATCATTCATCGCCTTCATCTGACAAAAGATTACAAGACAATACAGTCAGGAAGAGACAATGTTAGAAACATAACCATTTTCTCTAGCCTGTTAAATTATTTTAATTTCATGCTTACAGAACAGATCTTTGAAAACTGGTAGCAGGTACCCACTGGCAGTTAATGTATATATACCCATGCATAAAATAATTGTACCTACACTTGCTGAAGCCACAAGAAGTGCCAGTCAACTCAAACAAAACAAACAAACTATGTGGTTTTAGTCTGCAAGCAAACTAAACTGACCGCCAATTGTTGATGAAGTTAGTGCCAACTTTAGTGGATAGAGTGTGTCACGAGGTCAGCGCAACAAGTCCCCATGGCCGTTAATTTCGGTTTTCTAAATCAGAGCCGCTATTTCCTTGAAACAGCTCCTCAATTATCCTCACGATGCTGAGTGGACCCCGTTCCAGACCCACTACTTCACAGAAAATCTGGCAGGCCCGGGAATTGAACCAAGACCTCTAGATCTGTAGCCAGGAACTCAGTAGATCACAGAAGCGGTCAATTGCCACTAAGTGTCAATATAACAATTTTTACCCTCCACTGAGTTAGCAAGGTATCTTAAAGCATTACAAAAAAGTTGTATTTAATGCCTACATTAGTTACCAATATTATGCTGTTACTATTGCTCATTAATCTCCAGTTAAAACAAAAACTACTTTAAATTTGGTTTGAGTATTAGTTCACAGTAACATATTGCAGAAATCTCTTCAAATTATGGCAATAAAGTGAACTATGATTGTAGATGAATCTTCTCTGAATTCATAAATCTTAAAAATGTATATTTTTAAACTTGTTTTCTTGAGACGTGTTCCACTGCATTTTCATACAGCTCTTTATAAATGTCACTTAGTATTTCATTGAGTTCCAATACTTCCTCTGTAGAACAGAGTAGAGGATATTTGCATTCCACAGATCCTACTTTTGGCTAAACCAAAGGATATGGAACATGTCATAAATACAAATGCAGGAACTTATTTCATATACAGGTATACATACAGCTTAAGAATTTTTAAAACAAAAAAGAAAACCTTACTGCACATACAGATTTGCATAAAGCTTACAATTTTTTAACAGGGGAAAAATAATCTATAAAGAAGATGGTGTGAATTAATTTTAATTCAGCCATGAATAAACTGTAAGTGGAAGATAACAAAATACTTGATACCTGCATAAGTATAGTCATCTGATATTTAGTGTGATTAGCTTTTGGCATATGAAGGTAATATTTACATCCTGTGTTTAAATTGTGTACATCTGTATTTCTTAATAAATCTTCCGAGTTTTCCACCACAAATGCTAGTAAGCAGAATATGTGTCCACTTGAAAGTGGAAGTACTAGTATATTAAATTTCTTAAATAATTTTCTACAAGGCAGTCTGCTTTCGTCACCTAAAAATGTTTTAATTATTTTCTTTTGCATGTTAAATACTCCATTTCTCTGTCAATTTCCCCAGATGATTAGCTCATAACATAAGAGAGTATGTACTGGTGATAAGCAAAGTACAAAAATTTGAAAGTATATGTTGTCATGACTGGTGCAGATGTCATGACACAGCACACAGAGCATAGTTTTGCAAGACAATCTTCTGAGCGACTGAAGTAACAGCTAGTTTACCCTAAATGCCAGTTCTACATATGTTACTAAATCCTGAATATAAGCCTGTGAATCTATTATAGATAATTCAGTATGCCTAAAACACGACTCAACCCTCAAATTACTATATTTAGCAAAGTTTTAAAATGCTATCTTAATGTTATGAAATCATGTCTAACCCTCCAACATTTTTTTCTTTGGCACTACAGCCCCAGAGGGCCTAGGCCTACCTCCATGAACTCTGTTCACTTCTGTTTTTCTAGATCTTACACATATGGTAGGACTCCTTGGGCGAGTGATCAGCTCATTGCAAGGCCTCTACCTGTAGACAAACACAGAAAAACACACACAAACATCCACGCCCTGAGTGGGATTCGAACCCCCAATCCCGGCTTCCGAGCGAGCGAAGACAGTGCATGCCTTAGATCGCTCGGCTACCGTGACCGGCAACCCTCCAACATACAACCTGTGATAAGAAAGATTTGAGGTTTTCAAGGCGGTGACTATGAAGAAAGCAGTCTTCTGGGATGTGGAGCCATGTGGATATTGTGCATTCAGTTCACAATGGAGACCGAAACTGATGGCCACCTCCCCTTCCTGGATATACATATTTACAGGAGACCCAACAGTTCTCTGGGCCATAGAGTGTACCGCAAAACCACCCATATAAACCTCTACCTTAACACTGCATCCCACCACCACCCATCCAACAAGCAAGCTATACTTTCCACACTGATGCACAGGGCTAGAGCACTGTGTGATCAAGACAGCCTACATGCGGTGTTGGTGCTCCTGGGGGACGTTTTCAGGCAGAACGGTTACAACAACCGGCAGATATACAGAGTTTTGAAGCGTCGTTCAACCATCAGTTGGCCTGATGATAAACCAGACTCAGTCGCCTTCCTGCCTTATGTCAGGGCTATATTCAACCAAATCAGCAGAGTGGTGTCCCGGCACAACATCAAATCAGTGGGCCTGCCTCCAAAGAAATTAGTTAGTTTCCTCCAACCAGTCAAAAATAGCCTGGGACTAAGGACACCGGGTGTATACAGAATCCCATGTGAGTGCGGCAAGGTCTATATAGGGCAGGCGGGCATTGCCGTGGACATGAGGTTGAAGGAGCATCAGTGGCACATCCGTCTCGAACATCCAGACAAATTTTTGTCAGTTGTGGATGAACAAAACATAAATTTGGGACACCGCATTCAGCTTCAGAATACCTCCATCCTCGCTACCAAGACCCGATATATGGATCGCATCATTAGGGAGGCCATTGAGATTGAACTCCATCCCGACAATATGAACAGAGAGGTGGGGTTTTGTCTCAGCAAGTCATGGAAACCTCTCATTTGTTCCCTCAAGAAACCTCCGGAACATTACGCCGGATCCACAAGGCCACGCAGGCCCATGCCCGATTTGCATCGCAGCCCCTAAATTTCGGGGTTAATGCCCTCCTATTAACCTTGCCTTTCTCGCCCCGATACTATGTCTATACCTGCTCAGGCCTGCTACCTGCTAGCCCACCTCCCCAGCCCCTTCCCCTCTCCACACTTCTGATTTTCCATGTATACCCTCTCCTTCCTACTCACCCTGTTCTTAAACAGTTCAACTCGACTCTGTGAGCATTTGCTCGCGCCGGTTCCTGGCTTGCGGAGTTTCTTTCTTTTTTTTTCTACCCTGAAGATGGAGGTGATACGTTTCTCCGAAACGTCGGTTAAGACAATATTTACACGGTGCCACATCCCGGAAAACTGTTTTCTTCATAGCTGTGAATAAGTCTGCCAAAGAAACAGTGGCCTTTGTCTAAATTTTGTTTTGTTATTCACTGCTTTTATGTACTACAGTTAATCTGATCAGCAAAATAAGAAATTTGGGCCTGCTGCTGCTGAAGCAAATCCATACATCAGAAATCAATTTCAATCTTTTAATTTCACAATACCACAAAAATGGATTTATTATTTATCATTTTGTTTGGATTCACCACTCAACCTCCTATCCAGGCCGCGCCATAGCTCAAGCGGTTAGTCGCTGGCTTCCCACCGCGGCGGCCCGGGTTCGATTCCGGGTCTGGTCAAGTGGGATTTGTGGTGGACACAGTGGCGCTGGGGGGGGGGCGTTCTCCAAGTACTTTGATTTCCCCTGCCCATCTTCATTCCACCAAATTCTCCATCATCATAATCACCCGGGGCAGGTACAATAGGCCAATCAGCAGCCGCCGTGTCGAGTGGACCCAGCTGAACTCCACCCCCCGCTAAGCGAATTAAAAAAAATCGTGACGTGACAGAGAGCACATACATGCGCGCCAGCGCTGTGTAGGCAAGCCTGAATTCTGCCCCACTCTGAATTAGTTAGTTACTCAGTTTTTAAAATGCTACCTAAATGTCGTTATGCCCATACATTCCTCCGTTATATTGGCTGTGAATCAGTTTGACACAGAGTGGCCTTTGTACCGAATTTCGATTTGTTGCTCACTGCTGTTGGAACGTTTCTGTGGTCTAGGGGTCAGAGGTCCTGCCTACAGAACCAAGGGTCCGGCGCTATCAGATTTTCTGAGAAGTAGTGGGTCTGGGACGGGGTCCACTCAGCTTCGTGAGGATAATTGAGGAGCTATTTCAAGGAAATAGACTCCTGTCTTGAAAACCGAAATTAACGGCCGTCGGGATTTGTTGCGCAGAGCACGTGACACCCTCTCTTCGCTAAAGTTGGCATTAACTTCGCCGACAAGTGGCGGTCAGTCGGTCGGTGGGTATAGTTTGCTTGCGGACTCAAGCCAGGGAGTTTTTTTCAATGCCCTTACGTAGTTAATGCAATCAACAAAATAAGGAATATGAGCCTGATGCTTCTGATCCAAATCCATATATCAGAAACCAATTTCAGATTATGATACCAGAAACAAGAATAATCCATTTCCTACTTATCATTTCGTTTCGATTCAGATTGAGATCACATTAAGTTGATTATTCACTGATGAACTCGGAGATTGATGAATATCGAACAACTTGCCAAATGAGAATTGGCAGTAGAAATCGAATCACGCAAAGGAAGACTTTCCCAGTGGCACTTCAATAACCATAAATCCCACATGTTCTGAATCGGGATCGAAAGCTGGCCACTGCCGCAGTAGAAAACTGGTGATTAACCGTTTTTCTCATGGAATGGCCAATGTCACATCCTGCCTAACACATAATTCACGCTTTCATGAGACCAAACTGAAGTCTAACTTACACTTATTCGTAATTTCTAAGAATTCTGAATTTCGATACGTAGATAAAGTACTCTATAGCGGCCTCCGTATTCTAGAGGTAACGTTCCCACCTGATGACTCGTGTTACGCGGGTTCAAACTAGTGGGTCTGGGACGGGGTCCAAAGGGCGGAAAAA